CATTCTAGGTTATAACAGGGCTGAAAAAATCCACAGGTTCAAAGTTTAAAATCCATGCTAGAGCTTGGATTTTATTTATTTGTTTGTTTGTTTTCTGTTTCTTTGTTTGTGCATTCATTCATTCATTCAAAGTTAAAACGGCGCTGAAAAAAGTGACTTATGATCGTTTTTCACGCTTATGACTGTTTTTCATGCTTATGACTGCTGAAGCATCTCACATGACCAAAATTCAACCACTTATGACAGGGTCACGTGATCCCTTTTTGAGACCTCCTGACCAGAAAAGTCCGTGGGGGAAGCCAGATTTGCTTAACAACCATGTGACTGACTTCACAACAGCAGTGGTTCACTTAATGACAGTGGAAAGACAGGTTGTAAAATGGGGCAAAATTAACTTCACAAAGGTTTCTCGCTGAACAACGGAAAACTTTTGGCTCAGTTGTGGTTGCAAGTTCAGGACTACCTGTACAAGGAGGTTAAACAGGCAACAGCTGCTAGTTACAACCATTTGGATGGGTTAAAATGATAATTGGGAGGGGGTAACCATAGAATATAGGGCCGAAAGGGACCTCAGAGGTCTTCTAGTCCAGCCCAACTGCTCCCAACTGCATCAGTTCAGGCCAGAGGTGGTATTCAGCAGGTTCTGACCAGTTCTGGAGAACTGGTAGCGGAAATTTTGAGTAGTTCGTAGAACCGGCAAATCCCACCTCTGACTGGCCCCGCCAACCCCATCTCTTCTCTGCCTCCCATCAAGTCCCAGCTGATCGGCTGGGTCTTCTTTGGTTACCCTGCCCAGGAGAATGGAGCTGGAAATCAGGTTAGTGAGGCGAGGAAGGAATTGAGATTTTGTAGTAACCTTCCCCTGCCACGCCCACCAAGCCACGCCCACCAAGCCACGCCCACCAAGCCATGCCACGCCCACCAAGCCACGCCCACAGAACCAGTAGTAAAAAAAATTGAATCCCACTACTGGTTCAGGCTGATTGAGAATAGTGGCATCAATCCTAGCCTCTTAAAAGGCAAATTAAGATTATTATTTTTTTGGACAAGCATCCGAAAGTTGGCTTCCGATTTTACCGAAATAAAATCCCGGCTTCCCCTTGATCTTCTGGAAAAATTCCCCATGGGCTCTCGCGTGGATGTCCGCGCCGTTCTTGACCAAGAGGTTGACCAGGTACATGTTGCGCCTCTCGATGGCGATGTGGAGAGCAGTCTGACCTGCAAAGACACATCCCGTTAGATCAGGATTTGTCAACATTGCTAGCTTGAAAATGGGTGGACTTCAAGTCCCAGAGTTCCTCAGCCAAAATGGGTGGACTTCAAGTCCCAGAATTCCTCAGCCAAAATGGGTGGACTTCAAGTCCCAGAATTCCTCAGCCAAAATGGGTGGACTTCAAGTCCCAGAGTTCCTCAGCCAAAATGGCTGGACTTCAAGTCCCAGAGTTCCTCAGCCAAAATGGGTGGACTTCAACTCCCAGAATTCCTCAGCCAGTATGACTGGACTTCAAGTCCCAGAATTCTGCTGGCTGGGGCTCTCCTCTCTCAACATTTGGAGATCTAGTTCAGTAGTTTTTAATCTTGGTGGCTTTAAGATTGTGTAGACTTCAACTCCCAGAATTCCCCAGCCAGAATGGCTGCCTGGGGAATTCTGGGAATTGAAGTCCACACGTCTTAAAACCGCCAAGATTGAAAACCAGTGGTCTAGGTCAGGGGTCTCCAAGCTTGGCCACTTTAAGACTTGTGGACTGAACGGGGCTAGCAGAATGTTTTAATGGCCGGATGCCCTTCCCTGTCGCCAGTGTGGAGTTTTGTTCAGCAGATATATTCTCAGTGTGCCCAGAGAGAGAAAGCTGGCTGAGGAATTCTGGGAGTTGAAGTCCACAAGTCTTAAAGTGGCCAAGGTTGGAGACTCCTGGTCTAGATGGCCTCTGAGGTCCCTACTAACTCATTCAGTCTGTCACCTCCAAGCCTAGGTTTCCACCCTACCTGAGGTTTGAAGGGAAAGGTGTCCAGAAAGGCACATTGTTAACACGCATTTTGGGGCCCCAGAAGGAAAGAGGGTTTCAACATGAAGAGACATCATGGAAAGGAGACCATATGGTGATTCAGGTTTGATCTGTGGCCTCGGAAAACGTGCTTCCTGGTTTCAAAACATGGCTGAAATGTGACAGGTAGAGAGGCTGGGTCAGTTGGTCAAGGCTGCTGCAGGGCTAGATTCCAGGTAGTCCTTAACTTACGACCAATCACTTAACAGAGTTTGTGACAGGTCTAGCTGGGGGTATTTATGACCCGGATTCAAAGTTTCAATGGCCGGCCCTTGGTTTGCAGCAGCCCATGGTCATGTGACTACAGGTGATTAGTTTTGTCCAAAATGAGCGCTTACTTCTGGTTTAAATCGGACCCAAACCAACGGTTTGGCTTAACAACAGCAACAAAAATCAGCCAGGTGATGACCCGAGTTATGACAACTACGATGAGTTATGACCATAATTACGGGTATCGTTTGAAGGCTATCTCTGAGTAGTGCGATGGCCTAGAGGTGGAGCTCTCACCTCACAATCAGGAGGCTGTGAGATCGATCCTAGGTAGAGGCAGATATTTCTCCCTCTGGGCACATTGAAAATCTATCTGTTGCACAAAACTCCACACTGGTGACAGGGAAGGGCATCCGGCCATTAAAACACTCTGCTAGCTCTTTTAAGCTGCCTAGACTCCACCCCACAAGGGATTATGGGGTTATTAAATGAAGACGATTGGAAGGCTGTCTCTGCTGCACTGATCTAGGGGTTGGACTTGATGACCTCTGAGGTCCCTGTCTACCCTTCCACATCTCCCCAAGACCCTAAGGAGGGATGGCTCTCCTCGGTTCCGCCTTTACCCTTGTAATAGCTGTCTGTGTATCCGGCGTTCACAAACTCCGGCAGGTTCCCCGTCTTCGCCGCAATCTCCAGCAGGAAAGGGATGGTGTCGTTGCGGCCGTTGTGAAGGTTGAGCATGGCCTTCAGCAGGCAGGTCTTGCCGGTGTCGGGCTCTGCGCATGGACATGGAATTGGAGTGACAGGGACGAAAGTACACATATAGACTGGGTGAAACCAGGCTCAATAGCAGGAACTGGGAGAGGGATCTTGGAGTCTTAGTGGACAACCAGTTAAATATGAGCCAGCCGTGTGCAGCAGCAGCCAAAAAAGCCAATGCAATCCTAAATTGTATTAACAGAGGGATAGAATCAAGATCAAGGGAAGTACTAATACCACTCTATAAAGCAGGAGTGGGATTCTACCAGTTTGCACCTATTCGCTAGAACCAGTTGTTAACATTCTAAGCAGTTCGGAGAACCGGATGTTAGAAGAAATCTCCTTTTGTTTTTTTCAACTTTACAGGGCTAATCCTGTAAGGAAGGCAGGAAGGAAACATTCTGGTGTTGCTTACAGAAACTGCCTCTCCATTAACCCTTATTACATTCTTGGCAGGACTAGACTTCCTGTCTCTGGAACTTCTCTGGAGTTTTTTTCCCCCTCCTTTGCTGGTACTTTGCTTGTGTGGAGTGATCATTGAAAAAAGTGACTTATGACCGTTTTTCACACTTACAACTCTTCCAGCATCCCCACAGTCACGAGAAGCCAGGCGAGGAGATGCATGCCTCCATGTGAGTGATATTGAGTTGGCCATGCCCAGCCAGTCACATGACCACCAATCCCCTCCCACCACCTAAGCCACGCCCACAGAACCGGTTGTTAAAAAAAATTGAATCCCATCTGTGCTATAAAGCCTTAGTAAGGCCCCACTTAGAGTACTGCATCCAGTTTTGGTCACCACGTTATAAAAAAGATGTTGAGACTCTAGAAAAAGTGCAGAGAAGAGCAATCAGGATGATTAGGGGACTGGAGACTAAGGCATATGAAGAAAGGTTGCATGAACTTATGGGCATGTCCAGTTTAATGAAGAGAAGGACCAGGGGAGACAGGATAGCGGTCTTCCAATATTTGAAGGGCTGCCACAGAGAGGAAGGGGTCAAGCTATTTTCCAAGGCACCTGAAGGCCAGACAAGGAAAAATGGATGGAAACTGAACAAGGAGAGATTTAACCTGGAAATAAGGAGAAACTTTCTGACAGTGAGAACAATCAACCAATGGAACAGAAGTTGCCTTCAGAAGTTGTGGGAGCTTCATCACTGGAGACTTTCAAGAAGAGACTGGACTGCCATCTGTCAGAAATGGTGTAGGGTCTCCCACTTGGGTGAGGGGGGGGGGGTTGGACTAGATGATCTATAAGGTCCCTTCCAACTCTGATTATCTGTTATATGTTATCTGAGTCAAGATGCTGGCACCCGACGAGACAACACAAGTTCCACCAGGCCCAAAGATGTTTTTTTTTAAACTGGACTTTCTTGATTTTTTTTTTTTTTTTAGGACGTTTCGCTTCTCATCCAAGAAACTTCTTTATACTCCTTTCAGGCTGCTGGTCATTTGCATCCTGAGGCCACCTGGAGGTTTCTTTGTATCCTCAGGGTCACCTGAGTGGTGCAAATGGTTCCTGTAATCTGCAATTTTCCTCTGGAAATCCATTCCTGCTCCCACACCATTCCAAGGGGGTTTATCCCAAATTGCATAGCTAAAAGTCTGAGAGATTCTCAGGGATCCAGGTTGTTGAAGCACCTGGAGAATGGATTTCCAGAGGAAAAATTGCAGACTACAGGAAGCATTTGCACCGCTCAGGTGACCCTGAGGACACAGATAAACTTCCAAGTGGCCTCAAGGACTCTCTAAAAAAGGATGCAAATGACCAGCTGTCTGCAAGGAATATAAACCCTTCCATTTCCCATCATCCAGTCAGAGCTGGGGAAGCTTCTCGGATGAGAAGTGAAATGTCTTGAGATGAAAAAACAAGAAAGTCCAATTGCCTCCTGATAAAAGCATCTTTGACCTGGATGACCTGCCACAGAGAGGAGGAAGGGGGTCAAGCTATTTTCCGAGGCACCCGAAGGCCAGACAAGGAATAATAGATGGACACTGAACAAGGAGAGATTCAACCTGGAAATAAGGAGAAATTTTCTGACAGGGAGGACAATCAACCCACGGAACAGAATTTGCCTTCGGAAGTTGTGAGAGCTTCAACACTGGAGGCTTTTAGGAAGAGACTGGACTGCCATGTGTCAGAAATGGTGTAGGGTCTCCTGCTGGGGCAGGAGGGTTGGATTAGATGACCTCCAAGGTCCCTTCCAACTCTTTTATTTCATTATTCTGATATGGTTCTCTCTCTCACCTTTAAACTCCACATCGGTCAGGTTTTTTAGCGAGTCCAGCAGGTAGATCAGCAAATCATCCAGCTGGCTGGGATCTCCTTGTGCGACGGCATCAAAGAGACTCCTCCGATCGTATATCTTGAAAGCTTTCCTGGCACAGACTCCGATGGAGGCGGTAGACAGTAGCCTGCCGAAGGGATGAAAAGGGAGTAAGATTTGCTGAAGTGTGTTTTTTTTCCGGTGAGACCGGTCTATCAGGGCAACCTGGTCTACCCAATTATGGGAGAGAGCATACTTGTTCCGCTTTCCAGCAATACTGCTTCCACAACGAACTCTTTTTTGTGTTGAATTTATGTTTACTGACAAAGAAATTAAGGGTATAGATCTATAGTATAGATCCATGATGGTGAACGTATGACACATGTGCCACAGGTGGCATATGCAGAGCCATTTGTGCCAGCACGCGAGCTGCAGGCAAACTTACCTCACTGTGCATGCATGGGCCTTACAGCTGATTTTCGGCCAGTTTGAGGCCTTTTTTGGCCTCCCAGACGCTTGAGGGAGACTTCTTCATGCTTCTGCAGGCTTTGTAGGCCAAAAACTAAGCCTGTTTCATCACTTCCTGTTTTTCTGAAAATACTGGAAGTGATGAAACAGGCCGATTTTTCGGCCTGCAAAGCCTGCAGAAGCCTTCCTCAAGCTTTTTCGGGAAGCCGAAAAAGGCCTCAAACTGGCCGAAAATCAAATGTGAGGCGCGGTGCAGGTAAGGGGTCAGTGGGGGTCAGTGGGTGGGGATTGCGCACACATGCATAGGGGGCATGGGGGGTCATGCATTGCCTTCTGGGTGCTGGCATGTGAGTGCGAGCGTGCAAGCGCGTGCACAATTTTTGGCACAGGAGTCCAAAAGGATTAGCCACCACTGGTATAGATCTATTCTCAACAAATAAATACTCTGTCTTACCTATTGGCAGAAAAAATCAGAAAATAAAATACAAGCTAAATAGTCAAGACCTTGTTGAGGATCCAAACTCTGTCAAGGACCTTGGAGTACTCATCTCAAATGATCTAAGTGCTAGAGCCCACTGTAACTACATAGCCAAAAAGGCATTAAGAGTTGTTAACCTAATCCTACGTAGCTTCTTCTCTGGAAATATCACACTACTAACTAGAGCATACAAAACATTTGCTAGACCAATACTCGAATACAGCTCATCAGTCTGGAACCCACATTACGTATCTGATATTAGCACAGTTGAGAAAATCCAGAAATATTTCACAAGAAGAGTTCTCCACTCCTCTACTCGTTGTAGAATACCTTATGCCACCAGACTTGAAACTATAGACCTAGAAAACCTAGAATTACGCCGCCTCCGTTCCGATCTAAATATAGTATATAAAATCATACATTGCAATGTCCTACCTGCAAATGAATACTTCAACTTCAACCATAACAACACAAGAGCAAACAATAGATACAAACTTAAGGTTAACCGCATCAAACTTGATTGCAGAAAATACGACTTCAGCAACAGAGTGGTCAATGTCTGGAATACTCTACCTGACTCTGTGGTTTCTTCCCCAAACCCCAAAAACTTTAACCTTAGACTGTCTACTATTAACCTCACTCCCTTCCTAAGAGGCCTGTATAAGCGCACCAATCGTGCCTACCGTCCCTGTCCTATTGTTTCTTTTTATTTTTCTTATAAGTATCTATCTCATGTATTCAAAACTATATTTATTCTTATACCTGTGTCTGGTAAGCGATTGACAAATCAAATAAATATTAAAATACTAAAATACTATTTCAAGCTATTAAGCTCTGTGTCAGAGCTTTGGCGATTGCCCTAATTAAATCATGAGCCTCGAGCCAAGCTTTAAAAGACTCCAAAAGATTTATTAGGAGCAACATGTCAGTATTAAGCTGGATGAAGCCAACTCTGGCATACGTAATTTACAGTTACCTGTGACCCTGTTTCCCCATTCAGCTAGCCATACCCTTCTGGGATTCGAACTCAGGCTGCTGGCATATTCAGTAGATGTATTAACCTCTAAGACCTACGGGCTTTCCTCGCTTTGTCGGCTATACCAGGGAGAGAGATTGTGGTTTTTTTCCAGTGAGATCGGACTATCAGGGCAACCTGGTCTATCCAATTATGGGACAGAACATATGGCTTTTGTTGATTTGCTGATTTATTTATTTGTTTGTTTGTTTAGAAATTTTATGTTGTTGCCTTCTCACACATGGCGACTTACAAGGACACAAAAAATCACAATATAAAAGAAATAAAAATAATCAAAAAAGAAAAATTTATTTATTTATTTATATATACATATATATATATACATATA